CGACGGAGGCGTTGGATGAGATGCGGAAGAAACTAATCCTACTCACAATAGCATTTTAAGTACAAAAACCAGACGGACCGGACAAATTATATCATCTGATCTATGTCTTGAGGTGTGGCAACCGTAGTATAAGCGGAATAATTGACTTAATTGACTCGAGTTATTAGAAAATGCCTTTAGAAAATGTTTCAGCTACATTTACGTTTTTTTTTTGTTTTTTTTAGTTTAGTTACTAATCATTTGTTTTTAAAACAAACATCTTTTTACTACATGGAATTAAGCAGTTCTGTTAAATTCTGACTCCGTATTTCATATGAGACCTTTTGGTGGAGTTCAGTTCATTCGGATAATGTGAATGCTGTTTTCTGAACTCTGCTGTTTTTACGAACCATTCGCCCAAAAAGGGTGATCTTGTGTACGGTTGATGTGAACTCTGGTACAGTTCGCTTCTAATGTGAATGCAATTATACTAAATTTTGGAAGTGAGCCATTATTGATGACATATGAATTGGTCAGACTGTATTTATGTGTTTACTCACTCTCTTTCCTGACAAGTGTGACTGACGCTCTGCAAGCAGAGAGAATTTATATCTCATTTTTGCTCGCAGAAATTGATTCCCGTATTCTCTTACACCCTTGCAGTACATTTGTGTCAAATAGGTTTCATTCTGTGTTGCCGTTTCGGAAACAAAATTAAACTTTCAAAATCCAAAAAGTACAAAAATGAGGCGAGCAAGCATACATTCATTTTGCCATCTTCTGCATAGTCGTTACCTAGCATCATGGGTAAACAGCTCTGATTACGCAAACGTACTGTGGTTCAGAACCAAAAATCACCGTGTGAACACAAACCGGCAGGGGGAGGAGGATCAATCGAACTTGGGTTCGGACCAGGCTATCGAACCAAGTGTGAAAGCAACCTTAAATAGATCAGCATCCAGGGTTCTTGTGAAATATCCCTCAACTGCAAATTAAATTTTTTTTCATTTGTAGGCAGAACTGGACAATGTTTCTTCTCTGTTGGAAGATGCTGAGAAGAAGGGAATTAAGCTGGCCAAAGATGCCTCCAGCCTAGAGAGTCAGCTTCAGGACACTCAGGTAATGTGACTCTGCAAACAAGAAGCACTGGAAGAATGGATGAAGCAGTGACATAGAAGTATTTTGTATCTACCAACAAGGTTGATCCATAGTATACACCTGAAGTAATTTCATCAGCAATGAAAGACTGCAGAGATTTAATTAAAACAATAGATAGACTTTTCACAGAAAAGGTGTGGGATGTTATTGAGTCATGCTTGTTAAAAATTGTGGCTGTAGGAGCTGCTTCAAGAGGAGACTCGTCAGAAGCTGAACCTGAGCAGCCGTGTTCGTCAACTGGATGAGGAGAAGAACAGCCTTCTGGAGCAGCAGGAGGAGGAAGAGGAGGCACGGAGGAACCTGGAGAAACAACTGGCAACACTACAAGCCCAGGTCCGCCCAATCACTATATTTTTTAATGAAGGAACACGGCATGTCAGTTTATATCAACATCTAGCACACAATAATGTGTTTTACTTACCTCACAGAAGTCTGTCATGTTTGAGGACAAAAAGTGGGTTCTGTAAAAATGTTATTTTTTTTAGACTTCTGTTCAGAAAGGAAATCAGATGTACTATTTACTATAAAAATATTAATTAAAAATAAAAGCACTACTCTTTAATCCTTCTTTTTTGGATAGCTGGTGGAGACTAAGAAGAAGCTGGAGGATGATGTGGGAGCCCTTGAAGGCCTGGAGGAGGTCAAGAGGAAGCTGCAGAAGGACATGGAGGGGACCAGTCAGAAGCTGGAGGAAAAGGCCATCGCTTACGACAAGCTGGAGAAAACCAAGAACAGACTGCAGCAGGAGCTTGATGACCTTATGGTAGACCTGGACCACCAGAGACAGATCGTCTCAAACCTGGAGAAGAAACAGAAGAAGTTTGACCAGGTATGAATGGTTTTGGTTAAACAACATTTCACCCAAAAATGACATTTCTGTCATCATTTACTCACCCTCATGTCATTCCAAAACCATAGGACGTTTGCTCCTGTTCAAAACATAAATGAAGATAATTGTAATGAAACCTGAGAGGTTTCTGTCTTTCTCTTTAAAATCTATTTCACCCAAACTTGACACTTAATTCAGAGTTGTAATGCTTAATTAGTCTTCTGAAAAGACATAATTGCTCTATATGATGAACAGATTTAATTTAGGTTTTTATTCACTAATAAACTGTGATCAAACGCACATATATAGTTCATCAAATATGGGAAACTGAAGCTCAGGTATGAGCTTGATGTGCGAGAAACAACTTTTATGATGTCTTTATGAACTTTTTTTATTGCAATGTACTGAGTGGATAGACTGAAATCTCTCAGGTTTAATTTTAAATGTCTTAATTTGTGTTTAAATGATGATAAAAGTCTAATAGGTTTGCAACAATTAGAGGGTTCACAAGCGAGGTAACAACGGCGCTGTTCGTGAAGAAAATGAACTTAAAGTTTCAATGTTAGTAGAGACGCTGCTGCCGAAAAATTTTGAGAGACTCACAGACTCAGAGTGGTAATATGCACGCTCTCTCTCTCTCTCTGTCTAATAACTTCATTAATATCTGCATTAGTCAACTATCAATGGCTCAAGCCTCCGTTACTAGGTCTAAAATGACGTTTTGGAATTAGCAACGGAGGCGTTGGATGAGATGCGGAAGAAATTAATCCTACTCACAATAGCGTTTTAAGTACAAAAACCGGACAAATGCCTTGAAATATATCATCTGATCTATGTCTTGAGGTGTGGCAACCGTAGTATAAGCGGAATAATTGACTCCGGGCCATTGAATTATTAGAAAAATAATGCACACCGGAGGTGTAACCACATTACCACCTCGGGTGTGCATTATTTTTCTAATAATTTAATGGCCCGTCATCAATTATTCCTTACATATAGCATAGCGAGACTGACTCGATTATGTCCTTTGCAGTGCTTCATGCAGGCTTTTTGGCGTGAATTGCTCGCCACAAATTTTTAACTAATGGAATTTTTCTGTACAGCATCATATGGTAGTTTCTGCCACAAATTCATTTCTTAAACATTATGTTTTTAATACACTGAACAAAATTATAAACGCAACACTTTTGTTTTTGCCCCCATTTTTCATGAGCTGAACTCAGAAGTGTTGCGTTTATAATTTTGTTCAGTGTATAAGTTGAAATAATGAGAATGGATGGCTTCAACAAAAGCATATACTATCAATTAACAACCTCGTAGCGCACAGGCCTGTCTTTAAAGCTTTATATGTCATTGTTTAAAATCTATTTCCCTATGGAGAAAATGAATGGCGTTTTTACTTCTAAAACCTGACTGTTGCACTTTATAAAAGCCAATAGGTAATTTTCTCTGTAATTTTTACAGAGGTTGTGTAAGAAAAACACAGAAATGTTCAATGCATATGTAATTAAAATGACTTAAGCATCACTGTAAAAAATGCTATGTCAGGAAAAATAAAATGCTTAATGAGGTAACTAATAAAAAAAATCTAAAAAAATAAAAGTTTGCTTTAAATCAGTTATTGTATTTAATAAGGCTAAATCATTAGGTTACACCAACAAAAGTCATTTTTTATAGGTCAGATCAGGTAAAAATAGTTATTTAAATGTAACATGTTTGGTCTTTTTAGTGTACATCCATAAAACACAATTTTCTCTAACCTCCTCAGGGAAAACTATTTCTCTCTCATGAGTGCTTTAATCTAATAATAATCTAAAAATATTCTCTAGTCCAGTCACACACATACCTTACAATGCCTAAAAATGGATTTCTTCTCTCTCTCTCTCTCTCTCTCTCTCTTTCACATACACTCTCATACCCTTGATCATACACGCACGGCTATCAATAGGAAATCACTGACAGCACTCCAGTCAGTCCGGCGGCTGGAGAAACCCTAGTAGTGAATGAGAGCCTAATGGAGTGGACTCTTTAAAACACAAAGCATCATCATTTGGGAAAAATGAGCAATATCATTCTGGCCTTTGAGTTGTGTGCCCTTCAGACTCACTAGGCTTCCTATGGTGCTGATACTCTATTTGTGTGTGGCTCTGTGCCCATATCCAACAAAGTGTGTGAAATGTGTCAGTGCTGACTCTGGGTGTGCTGATTAAAACCACTCAATACTCACCTTCATCTTTCCCTCTTCTCCCATTTCACAGCCCTTATTTATTTCAGACACATCACAAATGCCTTCTCTACTCACACCTTTTCCCCAGTACATTGGTTCCAGCTTGATCTCATTATAGTGGCAGCGCTCATTCATTGATCTGCTCCCGGTGCTGGTTAAGCAAAGGTCAGAGTGGAGACTGTATGGACAGGCCCTTCACTGACCTGTGTTCTCTATCTACAGCTATTCTCGGCTTTCAGAAAAGTGTTAAGATTCAGTGGCAAAGAATCTCCACAAATAATTCAGATAATATATCACATATATACTGTCAAACAGTAACTGAAAAAAGTGAACTTCTTAATGTATTATCCTGTTGTAAGAATCCACCCGCCAGCCCAAAAAGCGGAATCCAGCGGCCTGGTCGAAGGTTTAATGCGTATTCTGTCTTTTACTTGCGCTTCTGAATTTATCAGGATTTAGTTTAATTTTTAGTCTAGCTCCGTGTTCAATCTGACTCCAATTTTCTCACAGACCCCTAAAGGGGACACCCCCTCCTTAACACAACACAATTCTACAAAAGTTTTAAATCTTTCTCATAATATAAATGACTACTTTGAAATTGAAACCAATTTACCAATCACACAAAGACCTTTAAAATGACACCAAACACGAAGGGGAAAAACAACAAGTTCACAAGATACACGATATGTGGGATATGCATATTCTTAATGAACTTTGAGTGAAACCTTTTGGGGGAAAAGAGGGAGAGGCAGAGCGGGCAGGGGGAGAAGGGGGTCGGTTTAAGATGGTTTAGATCCTATCTGTCCGATCGCGACCACTTTGTTTATTTAAACGGGGAGTCATCTCAATTATCACCAGTAAAGTATGGA